ACAAATTATAATTACTTTTAACAACTCAGTCAGTCTCGGTATTTTTCTAGGATTTCGCTTTGTTAGTTATTAGAAATAACAACACATAAACAAAAACCCCTGAAAATTGACGTTTCCAATTCTTTAGTTCTTTTTCAAAATAACGACTCCAAAACTGCTTCTTTAAAATAAAATGCGACCAAAGTCTTCAAATTGAAGCTGATTATTGTTAAAACTGAGACTGACAAGTTATCGAGCTTTTTATACAAAGTGTCCCAAAAAAAAACAAACCCTCAGACAACTATTCACGATTAAATCCTATCAGAAAAACTTTCAAATAAAAGTTGTGGGATGTCAAGAAACCAATATGCTGGTGATTTAGCCTTAAATGAAACAATCTATATTTGATGCCAGCAATCGATAGTGTCAAATTTACGTCCGAAATTTTATGTCCAGAATAATTCGTCAAATCGAATTGTGGAGAAAAAAAATTGTAGGATTTCGAACGACAAATTCATTGATTTTTTTGACATTAAGGTAGAAATACTCGTACTTCTTTAGATACCTATTTCCCCCATAGATGGATTGAAATAAGAGACGAAATCGAGTGGCCCGCTCGATCTCCTGATTCAATCCCTCTTGATTAATTTTTACGGAGTTACCTGAAGAGTAAAGCCAAATAGGTAATTTAGATAAATCGTATCCATCAACAAACTGTTTTGATATAACAAAATATAATCAGAAATGTTGTATCTTATTTTTATTAACGTTGCTTATTGTAAAATGGTAGACCGGTCATCAATTTGAACTAAATGTTGGAATATTTAGATTTTTGTATCGTCTATTATTGTTATCTTTATCATCATCATTAATATTATCTTTGTTTTTTAATTTTTTTTTTAATTTTTATAAATTATTACTCTCATATCTATTATTTTTTGTGAAAAATGAGTTTGACCTTGAAACAAGGTCAAACTCAAGTCCAAGGTGACTTTGGTTTGTTGATATCCTGCTACTTTTTGGGACACCTATTATATTTACCCATAGAGCTATATCGGGTAACTAGTACCCTTCATTTAATGCAAGTTATCAAAACATTAACATTTATAAATGCTTTATATACCTAAAAAGTTTCAGGCTTTTAGTCGGTCACCACGGCCAGCTGAGAACCTAAAACTTCTTTCGTTAAATGACACGTATATGTAGTAATACTGAACTATTCAATGACATTTACAGATTGCATTTGATCTACTTGAAGCACAGTCCTTTTTCTCTGTATCACAGAATTCATCTGCAATGTGGAGTTAAAATAGCGACACTTTTCTGATGCGGCGCGTACAGAGTGTTACGGTACAACCTGCACGGTGGGATACTGTTTAAATTAAGTTGGTACACCTGACGAAAATAACACCATTAGACATATTAAGAATGGGGCGGAAAATATATGCGTTTCCGCGTGAATGTGAGAACTATCTGCGTCCGCTTTTAAGCAATGCACCATGAGATTCTTAGCCTCTAGTAAGTCACCTACGGACTACGAACGAAGAGAAACATCCATTATTAAGTCACTCCTGAATTAGTTGTAACTGTCTCTATTTCTCCTTCGAACGTTACGAATTAATCTAGACACCGACGGTTTATGCGTGGAAGGGGGGAGAGTTATGTTATTTTATAGATCAGGTTAATATTGGCTTGTACAAAGTTATCTGTAATTCTCCTTTGAATTGACAAAGTGTAGACATGGATGAAATGTCTTGCGGAATCAACATACAAACAGAAAGACCACATACAAAGAGAGTTCTTTCAACAAACTATGTGTACTTAATGTTTTTTATCTTTGCATTTAGTATGTACTGGTTTTTGCTTGTTTAGGATACAAATAACATCTAAAAAAGTTCGATTCTTTAATGATGTTAGTAGTCTTGTGCTGTGAAGAAAGTTGAAGGTTTAAAAAATCCTTAAAAATTAATTTTTGAACTCCTGGAATGTCATTTTAAACTTTCCTCAATGCTTTTTTATCAATATTTTTGCAAAAAGTGCTGTTATATTTATCCTATTTAATTTTAAATATCAAATTTCATAAACAGAAACATTTTTTTACTTTTGGGGGAAGTGAAACAAATCGTTTACTTTTTTGCTTGCAGCTTTAACTTTTACCACCATAAATTTTACAGAAACGTCAAAGAATTTTTACGAGGCAGTCACGTGGTGTACCAATAAAGCATTGGCACTGGAAATTCCTGAAGCGTAAACCATCGGCTCAATCAGTGTACACTCTTATCGATCGAGCGGATATTCCAGCGTTTTATTAGAGAGAGTCCTAAAAGGGAGAGAAGGTCGTATCCGACGGCGCGTAAAAATTTACACACTCGTATGAATACCAAATATTTGGTATTTTAACGAAGCTGGGGTTTAATGGTTGGGGCAATATTTACAAGAATAATTTCTAGATTACCTTACTCCTAATTAAGATCTTGTTTTTGCGCTTTTTAGGATAATTTCGTTTTCAACTACAATCTATTTTTCTCTTCTTATATTTAGATATACATTGTGCCCCATTTTAATCGATCGAAAAACTTCCTGAGTAAAAGTTGTAAGGTTTTAAGGTGATCGTACTATAATGACCTTGGTTTCGACCTAGAAGTCAACATGAGAATTAAATGAACACCCCATTTGTTTTATCCAGGAATGGAAAGTACAGGAAATTCTACGTTGAGAGATGTATATGTGATTTTGAGTCAGATTGACCCATAGGGCCCTCTTAAGGTCAAATCAGCTTAAACGACCCCTAAATTTCATCCCTGGGCTCAAGGTCAGAGTTACAATTAGACCATAAATCGTGGCCACGGCAGTTCGTACGGAATTTGCCACAAAAATTAATCAACTTTGCCATAAAATCTAAACATTTTAGTCGGACAGCTGATTTGACATTCAGAGGGCCCCTAGGGATCAATCTGATCCAAGATCAAATATGCATCTCTGGACGTAGAATTTCTTGCTCTTTCCATTTCTCGATAAAGCCTGACCTCCAAATGACCCCTAAGTATGACCTCTGGGTCAAAACCAAGGTCATTATCGTACGACCCACGAAATAAGGTTTAGCGCTCAGTATTGTATGGGTTTGATCAGTGATGATAAGCGAAGTCTAAAAAAATAACATTTTTTAATGGTACCCGTTGTCCGATAACATGAATCAGTGGCGTACGCAAGGGGGCATCTTTAGGGGTCGTTTTATATTTTTAACGGTTTTCGATAATTATTAAACTCAGTATTATCAGTTTCTTTTGTCGCTAAATCGCATTGAGTGGTTTTTAATTCACGCTAGTCATGACGAAATTCTGTGTACGCCACTGACGTGGATGGTTGAAGTATTAGAACGGAAAGGCACTCTATTTTGTGTGTTCTACACAATATGTGAAAGAATTGCAAAACCTAGATTTATTTCATCCTGAACAAGACGCAATAGTACATCATTTTATGTGCTTGGTAAATTGAGAATAATTTCGCTAAGTTACAAGATACAAATAAAACGGGGCCATATTTTACTTATACAGGGTGTTTATGTAAGTAAGTGCTAAATATTTTAGGGGGTGGTTGCCGAAGTTATATACAGTGTTTAAATTTTAATTTTTTATTTATTTTTGTTAATTATTTCAGTTTTAAAAATATTGACTTGAAATTTGAAAAACGGTTTGGAGGGATAAATGTGGATTTTTTGGGGTGATCCGAATATTTCTACTTGCACCAGTGGCGTTCGTACGAGAATGCCACAACCTTTTTTTTAATAAAAAAAATCGTACGCCATTGACTTTTTCCCGTTTTGATATTTTTTAGAAAACCGCTATCAATTCTGAATGAAATTCGTCGCTTCAGTTTTTTTTTTGTAGGATGCACCGTTTTTTGAGGAAAAAAATAGAACATATTTTTCTGTAAGTTGTGTATTTTTAATTTCTATTGATACATTATCTAGAAAGTTGCTCTCAATATTTCTAAATAAAATACAACCATCAAATTTCGAGTCAATATCTTTAAAACTCTGACATAATTAATAAAAATAAATAAAAAAATAAAATTTAAACACTATCTCGGAAACGTAGCATATTTCGACCTATATGAAGTTTTTTTCACAAGATAACCACCCCCTAAAATATTTCGCACTTATTTATAAACAGCCTGTATATTATTAACATTTTCTTTCAAGTGAGGATGAACTGCAAGCAAAAACGCAAAACATCTGGGCTATCCACTCGAAAAAGTGTAACACTTAACGTATATTGTTTAAAACGACAAAGACATCAATACATTAGAGTAGAATCGGCAAAGGCTATGATTCACGAAACTTACTGGTACCTAAAAAGCAATGTCAAACATCTTAGAGTTAAAAATTGGTACTTTCCAACCTGCTTGATATACTTGTAAAAATGTACAGATCACACATCTCGAAATGTAAACTTCTTAATATGTATAATGATATTATTTCTCATGTATATAATATATGTATTATTGTCCCCTTGTCAACTTTTTATTTACCAGTAATGAAAATCACTAATCAGTCTTTATCTTTAACGGAAAATTGTGTCGGGCACAAGAACTAGGTACGCCTAAGTATTACGCTAACACCAATCATTTCACTACTGCCAAATAAAAAGTAACGACAATCAAGAAGGGGTGTTGAACGCAGACATTTATAGTTATCCAAACGTTTAGCACAAAAGTGTATTTACAAGCTGAAGATAGAAACGAACCCCGCTATCCGATTTATCAATATTCTTTTTTTTTTAAGATTATCAACACAATTTGACAGTAATAATAGCATCTAATACTAGTTCAGTCAGTCTTAATAACAAACAATTTCAGGTATCTGCCCCGACCCTTGTCTCAAAGTAGCGGCGAATCGAACTCCTCGGGATAGTCAATATTTATACTGGGCGAGTATAAGATATTCACAGAAGGAGTCATAGCCGTCTCTTAGATGATTAGTTAAATTTTATTAAAAATCAGGTTCGCCTAGGACTACGTGCTTACTGCGATTTCTTGAGAACTGTAAGTTGACGGGTCAGGCTCTCCTCGGGTGTGACGATCCTCTTCTTCATCGAAGGACGCACTTCGGATTCCTTCTGACTCTGGAAAGACGGAGAAGAAAGGTTGAAGCACACGCCAATAGTACCCGAATGACGATTTTTATACAGGGTGGTTCATTAATTCAACCGCGCTTCAAAATTAAATCGATTGGGCGGAAAAAATTCTTTTTTATTTTTCGGATATTTCGAAATCATTATTTCACCAATGAAGCTGAAAGTCGCCAAAAGTATTGCGGAAATTCGACAGTTTAGTTTAAAATTCTGACACCCTGTACATTAAAGCTGTCTCATTTTTAATGAATCACCCTATATATTATATTTTATTAATTAAATACATAGTGCTGTTAACGATGTAAGTCCGGTGACGCATTTGTGTCGATTTGTTACTTTCGCGGACGGTGTTTTTCTTTCAAGTGCCTTTAATTTCAATTAATATTTTTAATGGCTTAGACCGTGGAAAATAACTCATTTAGAGGGAAAAAAGAAAAAGAAAATTGTTACCTGGACTTTTATAAGTTTAAATGGTAAAGGGGCTTATAATAAACGTAAAAAAAATAAATTTCTGGCGAAAGTTGACGTCAGACAAAAAAGTATTTAATACAAAAGTTGTAGATCATGCAAAAATCTACAACTTTTGTAAAGGTCACTTTTTAACATAACCTCAAAATTTCCGAGAAAAATGTGAAAAACAAGGTTTTTTATGATTTTTCGTTTTTTATTTCTCATTTCCGCAAAAATAATTTAATTTTGACGGAACTTGGTGAAAGTATACCTTTCTCTGTCTTAAATAACCTCAAATTTTTTTAGATAAAAAAATCAAGAAGTTTCTGAGATATTCATTTTTTTCGGCCTGAAACACTTTTTTTCAAAGAAAAATTTTACTTAAAAGATAAATAGGTCTTTTTTAAATATGCAACAACTTATTTTTTATTGTTTTTGATAATTCTTCAAAATATGCCAATAATATTCTGGTATCCAGCCGTCTGCCAATATATTCATTATAATTATTGTCTATATCACAATAGGCACAACGTTAAGTATATAAGCCAGGTTATCGAAACTAAATGAGTGTGGTCTTGTGGCTTAAAGCGTTACGCGTTGTCCTACTAATCTGAAGGTTCGGGGTTCGATCCCCGCAGAGGTATGGTTTTTTTTCAATTAATATAATATTTCGAATGTAATTTTCCATCGTCCACATTTCAAGACAAATATTTCTGCAGCAGTTGCTGGTCGCGAAGTGAATAATTTCTGACAGTGTTGCCAAATATCTGCTGATTCGAGGCGTGTTAGATTGCTTATTAAATTCTGCCAGAAAATCGTGAAATATAAAATACAGATAAGTAGGTATTGACCAAGCAAATATCAGGATAACTAGTCTTTAGGCCTAAATAAACGTTTAGGAATTTAATTTCCAACTTTTATTAATCACTTAGTGTGAACAGTCTAATGGCGAATCTCAGTAATAACTAACTTATTTAGCAAAATCGAATCGGCATCGAGACATTCAATGTTTATGTAACCGAGAATGTTTTATAAACACACGCTGGGGACCCAACGCAAGATTAATAATAATGTTCATTTAAAATTCTGTCACACAAATTAAATTTTTACTCGAAAAAAGTCCTATCCGCGAGATTATTGTAAAATTGCCTAAAGGAACATAATATAGTCCAACCAAATTACACTTGCAGAAAAAAAAATTGTTACTTGGACTTTTATAAGTGGAAATGGTAAAAGGGCTTATAATAAATCTAAAAAAAATAAATGCGTGAGCAGGGGCGGCGGAGGGTTGATTTGCGGGGTTGAAATGTTATGAAAAATTGTATCATTGGGATTTCTTGCGAAAATTAAGGTCAAACAAAAAAGTATCCAATACTAAAGTTGTAGATCATACAAAAATCTACAACTTTTGTAAAGTTCACATAACCTCAAAATTTCCGAGAAAAATGCGAAAAACAGTTTTTTTTCAGATTTTTCATTTTTTATTTCTCATTTCCGCAAAAATAATTTAATTTTGACGAAACTAGGTGAAAGTATACCTTTCTCTGTCTTCAATAACCTTTAGATAAAAAAATCAAGAAGTTTCTGAGATATTCATTTTTTTTCTGCCTGAAACACTTTTTTTCAAAGAAAAGAGTTCTGCCGGTAATCATTTTCTTCGTTTTGACATATACTTTTTGGTGAAATAAAAAAATGTGTTACCACAGTTCAGAAACATGCTCAAAAATGCAAAAAACTAAAAAATGACTTGCAGCAATGAATTTTTCAGTATGTAATTGTTGATAATTTGTTTAAATTTAAAAAAAATCAAAAACTGATTACACCATTAAATTGTACGGAAAAAAATACAAAAAAAAATTGTCTCATTATTTGATCCAAAACTATTTTTATATAGTACTGCTATAAACATAAGTCGAATAGTGAATAAATAAAATAAATAATTTTTTTTTCCGTAGGATGGATTAGTGTACTTATTTTTTTTTAAAGTTTGATGAATTCATATATATTATACAGTGTGTCCAAGATAAGGATGGGATAGCATTATTATGATCTAGGAAACGGTAAGAGATACGGGGTGGCCCAGATTAGAAAAAAGTTGTGTTTTTTATACCTGACAATATGCCGTTTCTAAAGTTTTAAAATTCCGGGTAGTTCCGGAGATATCCGGAAACCCCGAAATTTTGCAAGATTTTTTAATTTTTTCTGGCTTTATTTGAAAACTAATTTTAAAATAAATTACATATTTACAATGCCACTTTTCGCTCTATACAATGGCTTCAACATTTTTGCAATCCGACGTTTCGTCTTCGAAGGGCCATCATCGGGTTAATTTTTTTAAATACGTCGCTGCTATTTTTATGACAAAATCTAAAGTCATTTTTAATTCTGAATTAGAGGATATTGCTAGCTTAAAAAGTTTTTAGCTTGTTTTAGATATAATTTAAAATTTTTCCTGAGTACGGCTCTGAACGCTTTCAAAATATCTATTTAATGAACTCATAACAGTATAAAAATCAATACCGCATAAAATATCCAACAATTTTTTACTACTATTCGGAATAAGTACTAATTAAAAATCATAAATTCATATTATTTTTTTATTAGGTACAACTTTCTAAATTATGGATTAAAAAAAATTGTTGGATATTTTGTGCTGTATTGACTTTTATCCTCTCTCTCTCTCTCTCTCCTCCAATAGATACAGCTATTTTGAAAGCGTTCAGAGCCGTACTCAGGAAAAATTTTTAATGATAGCTAAAAACCTTTCTAAGCGATTACAATAGTAATATCATCTAATGCAGAATTAAAAATGACTAGATTTTGTCATAAAAGTAGCAGCGACATATTTAAAAAAATTAATCTGATGATGGCCCGTCGAAGACGAAACGTCGTGTTGCAAAAATGTTGACGCCATTGGATAGAGCGAAAAAATGGCAATGTAAATATGCAATTTATTTAAAATTCGTTTTCAATTAAAGCCAGAAAAAATTAAACGATTTTGCAAAATTTCGGATTTTCGGATTTCGTGTCAACAGTAAACTTTGCAGTTATGCAGTTAATACTTTGTATTGTTGAAATCTCAAATCATCCAGAGATAATTTATCATTTGTGCATTTTAATTCGACTTAGATGTTTATAGCAATACTGTACAAAAATAAAAGTTTTGGGTCAAATAATGAGACAGTTTATTTTGTATTTTTTCCGTACAATTGAATGGTGTAATTAGTTTTTGATTTTTTTTTTATTTAAACAAATTATCAACAATTACATACTGAAAAATTCATTGCTGCAAGTCATTTTTTAATTTTTTACATTTTTGAGCATGTCATCAGAAAGTATATGTCAAAACGAAAAAAATGATTACCGGCGGAACTCTCTACAATGATTTTTTAAGTAGAATTTTTCTTTGGAAAAAAAGTATTTCAGGCCGAAAAAATGAATATCTCAGAAATTTCTTGATTTTTTACCTAAAAAAATTTGTGGTTATTTAAGACAGAGAAAGGTATAGGTACTCTCACCAAGTTCCGTCAAAATTAAATTATTTTTGCGGAAATGAGAAATAAAAAACGAGAAAACTGTTTTTCGCATTTTTCTCGGAAATTTTGAGGTTATGTTAAAAAATGTCCTCTACAAAAGTTGCAGATTTTTGCATGATCTACAACCTTTATATTGGATACTTTTTTATTTGACGTCAACATTCACCAGAAATCCCAATTATACAATTTTTCATAACTTTTCAACCCCCCAAATCAAGCCTCCGCCGCCCCTGCTTACACATTTATTTTTTTTAGGTTTATTTCCACTTATAAAAGTCTAAGTAACAATTTTTTTTTTCTCCTAATGTAATTTGGTTGGACTAGATAGCGGAATAGATATGTTAAAAGCTTATTTTCTACTCAAGAAATATTACAAACACAAGATATCGCTTGAAAACTTGTTTTATCATTTTCCGCGTGTTATTTCCTGGGATCGTAAAAAAATCCATAGCCCTGGGCGTTATACATTATACAACAAAATTTTGCGGCCCTAGGCGGGGCGGATGACGTCATCGCGCGAAATGTATAACGAAATAGCCTACCCCAATATTACCGACGGGATAGTTTTGATTCTGGCGGGTTGCCAAACGAACGAGCTAAGTATAGCGCAGTGCAGGAGCGATGAATGGAATTGGGGGGGTGAGTGGAAATCGAAACTGGGACGAATGGGTGGTGCGCTGAATGAATTAGCGGGATTGCTTGGTGCCGAAATTCCGAGGCGCAGGTACGGGGGTCGGTAGAATTTTAAAAGGAACTCCAGGGAATCCGTATGTGTAATGTAATTTAGAAATGAATGGAATTAAGCGGTACAAGGGTGTTCATTAAATTTTTCGTGTAGTAATTGGAGCCGCACGTCGGGCGCCAAAAGAAGTCTCGTAATAATTAAAACGTATGGAGTGGAGTGAAAATTTTTAGTATTCGTTATTCTTTAATCACTTCAGCAGATACGAAACATTTTTCAATAAATGAAAATGTTTAATCAAATTTTTAACGTAATAATTGAAGCCCCACGTTGAGGGCCAAAAAGAAATCTTATAAGAAAAACACATACGTTTAGTATTTGCTATTCCCTAAAAATCTCAGTATAACATAAATGAAATCTATACAATTTTGTGTACTTACATTTTCCAGGCTCTTTTCCACGTCGAGCATGTGCCTGATGGTGTCGTAGACAGAAGGCGTTCTCTTCTTCTCCTTGTCGTTCCTGGAAAACATGTTCAGTACAGAGTTGGAAAAGGGATTGCGTACTGGCGTGGCCGGTCTCATCTGGAACTCCTCTTTCTGACCCCTGGATTCCTTCTTGGCTTCTTCAGTGGTCGATGGTGTCTGAGTTGTGGTAGTTACAGGTTTAATAATTGGCTTGCGATCGGTAAATAGCCCAGGGTAGGCTTGCGGTACGTCGTCATCGGAATTGGACCTCTTATTCTCGTTCCTGTTGTAGTTCTTGTTATTCTGGAACCAGTGGATGCCGTCGGGTTTGTCTTGATTCCTGAGCTGTTGCTTCCTGTTGGTTTGGTGAGAGAGTTGCTTCAACTCCCTTACATCTTCATCTTCAGTGCTGTAGGTTGGCTTGTCGTTGATGTCTTCAAATTTGCCATAGGTACCGTCGTAGTCATTGTAAGCATACTGGTCGTAGCCGCTCTTTTCATTCTCGACAGAGTCCTGGTACATTTGAGACAAGATGAGGTTCTGGAGGAAAGCAGCGTTCACTTCATCCAAAGCTTCGTCTTCGTTCGCTCCATTGTCGTTCTCATAGTAAGACTCGTGCCCGATAGGCTGGGCCTCTTCGCGTTCTTCCCTTTCAGCTTCCTGGATCATCTCTTCCTGCAGATCCACCATTGGATCCCCGTACCCGTAGTAGCTGTAAGCTGGTCTCGTCACTGGCCGCTCTTGGTAGTAGTAGGGCAATACCGCCTGGTAAACTTCGTATTTGGAAGTTCTAGGGGCGGGGTAGTACACAGGGTAAGATTCTTGGGGGTAGTAGTAATCCTCGGGGTAGGCTTGGCTGTAAGGATAGAGTTTATAGTAATTTAAGGGGTACCTCTGGGTTCTTAGCATGGCAGTTTGGTAGGGATAGGAGTCGTATGAGGACAGCCGAGAGCCGGCAGATCGTCCATACCTTTTAGTTCCGTAAATTGCGTTGGGGTAAGATAGGCACCCAGTGGTGCACATAATTAGGAGCAATTGTAGCGCGGGTAGAAGTTTAACAGCCATCTGAAACAACAGTGAAGGGTGAGTTGTGGAAAAAACAATGTGGTGTGTGGTGTTATAGCTATCGAAGGATAAAACGGCGCTTTGTTTGTCACAGTGGGTCGATATTTGCGACCCATTTCCAACAACAGGTTGAGTAGCTCGCTTTTATCTCTTGTTTTTTTTAATATCTCATGCGAAAACTCGTTTTATCGGCGCCGGTGTCTGTAAACAATTTGACAAATTGTGCGGGCATTCGACTAATACGTTTTTTTATCTGTGTACACATCGTGGACGTGGGCAATTTACGTCAAAAATAAATCTCGCTGGAAATTATGGATCGTTTCATATGAATTTGATGTTATCTAGATGTGTTTGTGTGCTGATTAGAAAGTTTGTTCGTGACTGATTACATGATATGTGCATATTTCTCTGTAACTTATTAGATTACATTTCGATATTAACGGTGGTTGTGGAGGCGGAAGTAAACCGTTGGTGGTTCACAAAATGGCGGCAGAAGTATTTTTGAAATGGCGGCGTACTGTTTTTTTTTTTCATCTTTAAGTAATTCTGGATATCATGACTATTTTTTATAAGGTGTTATACAAATTGAATAAATACTATTTATAATATGACATATTTTTATATACACGATTTTCCTACATATGTTTCTCCAACACTTAAAAGTTCTGTACAACAATTGGAAAAATTTAACTACAGGCGCAGCGGTAGCTAAAATAATATTATATTAGCGCCAATATTCAGGAATCGTGTAATTATAATTTAAATATGCTTTAAAAAAAGTCACTAAAAACTTTTCACAGCATTGCACTTTCTTAACAGTATTTGCCAATATGCAGACTTGAAATCAATTGCGGACCTAATATGTAATTATATTTCTATGTACTTGCGGTGTGACCAAAATTAAAACACCCTGTGTATCTATTTAAGGTTTTTAAATATTCAATCTTCCGTGATGTAAATTGAGTAAAATTTAAACGTCCCATATAATTTTTAAGTAATTTAATCAACTCACCATATTTGTCCTGATGGGAAAGTTTGAAGCACAATCAAGTCGTGGACACTTCACTGCGAATCGGCAACGAGCAGACCTTCAGATTAAAACACGCTACCCCTTACCATCCACCCCTATATATAACCGAAGCCTCCCCTCGATTATGGAAAGGGTATCACCCACACGTTCTCAATGAAAATATCAGCGGTGGGGATGGACGGCCGAAATTGCGACAATTCGCCCCCATTGGCGGCATATTCAACAAGCTGCCACCCCATTGGCCGACGCGGCGTTCCCGTATTGATCGCCATACTACCGGGCGACATCAATAATATATGCAACTTCCTGGCTTATGATACCCCTAGATTTCCCGCCGGCCTTTTCATTCATAAATTCCTATTTTCCACCCTCAGGATCTAATCGATGGGACTTGGACAACATATTGTTACTTTTACTCATCTACTTAATGCATGGTCTCGGTTAAAAATCGATGGGGTGTCGTGTTATGCATGTACAGTCGTGCGGGGTTCGTTGGTTTTTTGGAGATATGAGGTTTATGCCCGTGAATGAAAAATGTATCATGTGAAAGGTCCTACTACAAGATTTGATCATATAGGGATAGTTTGGTAGCCTATAAGAAAATATGAGGTGGATAATTTGCATCTTGAGAGTAAACATGTAAACAACAGTATGGGGCTATAAAATCCTTTTGAATTAAGACGAAAGCGTAAGATTTAATTTTTATGTATTGGAATTATGCTAATTAGGCTGCTACAAAAATTATCGCCAAATGCTGAATTATAGACTCGGAGTATTAAAAGAATAGTTTGCCTTGGTTTATTCAGTTGATTATGTACTAAAATTTGACATAGCTTACCTTGCCGTATTGCAATAATGCGCTTTCCACCCAATCAATCTCCTGTCGCTCGCGACATTCACATTTCCTGTGGAGCAGCGTGCCAGAAATTGGCCCTTAATAGCTTTTTAATAAAAAAATATTTCTCTTGGTAATCCCTCAAATGATTGCCAACAAGGGATAATTTAATAATTGCCCCCAAAGCCACAGAGCCTATAACTTCGTTAGCAGTGTCTCCTTTCTCTTTAAACTAATCTAGTTACCCAATCATGGCCTTCCTATTTATGTTGCTCTTTGGATAAAATAAACGTGATTCATGTAGGTACTTTTAGACAATGCAAAAGAAGAACCAAAAATACCTAAAAATATGCAGAGAATTCAGAATATTATACAGGGAGTGTACAGAATTGGAGAGTAAATAAATCGAGCTGCGAAAACTCCATTGACAGAAATATTTTTTCAAATAGAATATTTTTTACTACTTACTGATTTACCAAGATGGTTCATTTTTGGTATGTTTTTTGTATTTTCTTTGTAAACAATTTTTATACAATTTACAAAACCCCTTTCCACGGGGAAGTATGGGCAACACGCCACTGACGGCTTCTCCTGATGATGTCACAATCCGGAATTTTATCAATATGAAAAGGTAGCTGAAAAAGGCTATTAGTCCTGGCGCGTAGATTCTATTTTTAAGGACGATTACGTAACGCACGCGGTTTTTTTCCGTACGGATTTCCAGGAAAAAAAACTGATAATGACGACTGTTTTGCTACTGGAACCGCGCCCAGTTCTTCCTGGAAACCGATGGATTACCTGCTTCATTATTCAAGCTCCAACAGATGTATGTTATAATTAACACTCGATCGACCAAGGTCCGTCGTATTTCATTCATTAGTTGGCCACAACTTTCTATTGGGTTTTACGATTGTGGGAGATGTGGAGGGTCAGTGCGGTTTAATGACATTTTTAATTAATTGTCGGTATGGTTAAAGCCAAATAAGGACAAGAAGAACCTTTCAAGGACGTTTCAAGTTACATTCTACTCAGTATTAATAACATAATTATAATTATTGTGAATTAAACTAATAATAGCTCTCTAGTCTAATTCTTGGCACTTAGACTACTACAACTCCTATAACTGCGTTACTACGTTTTAGAATTTTACGTAGTCGGCTTCATGGTAGTTACGTTGACTTAAAATTATATAAATATAGATGACTCGGGAGAATAGCACCAATGTTATATTATGTTATGTTATGTGGTTAAAATTTACATTATTTTTATAAAGTTTCAACACTTAAAAACCACTCTTAATGATAAAAATATAAAATTAATAGTTTCTTTGACCTTATAATACTTTTATAGCGCATATATTATAGATAGAAACCTTTTCAATAGTTTATGGTTATTTATTACAATATTTCAACTCTTAAAAGTACCCCTAATAACAAAATATTAAAAAAAATAGTTTTTGACAGTTTGAAATGATTTGATAGAACAAACAGGATAAATTAAATTCTTTTAACTGTGTACAATACAATTTATAATACCTATATCGCATTGTTTTAACCTTTAAAAACCAGCCCCAATGACAAATTATAATAATCCAATAAACAACGCAAAATAAAAATGTTTTTCGTAATAACTTTCGTTCTCGCGATTTACTTTAATTTATGCAGCAATATTCAAAATAATTATTTCTCAATATTTTTTTCATGCAGAAAGTCATAATTTCAAATTTTCCTATGCCTATGAATGCTCCAAAGTTGTGGATAGATAACCAAAATATTGATATGCTTCGAAAATTGAAACGGTAAGGTGCCTTTGGTTATTAACGATAACTTCCTTAATTTTAAAGCTATTAAGATGATCCAAAAACGATTTAACGCGTTATTTTTGAGATTTTTGAGGTTTCTGTTAATTTTTATCTTACACAAATAAAAAAAAACAAAATATTCTGTGAAAAAAAAAATCTAAACTTTTGTACTCTTGAATATTTTTCGTATCTTTTTTAATTTTAAAGTTATTTTCAAAAATATGTTATGGTTTTATATTATAATATTTTCGAAAATATGCATTCTAAACCGCTTAAACTTGATTAATATATTGTTAACACATAAAAAATGTAAATTGTAGGATTACCTTTAATTTTAAGTCTGGTGAAAAATTCATCAGTTTTTGTACTGATTTTTATTTGTCCGAAAAAGCGAATTAACAATTTATTTTGATCATAATTCTGTTAATTTTTATGATAATGACTTAAAGTCAAGGTCATTTTAAGGATTTTTTAAAGTACTTTAAAAAATGTTAAGCTTATTTTTCTTGAAAAATAGATTTTCTTTTACGTTAAATGCTTCCAATTTAGTATCTGTCGGACATGAAATTATCTTCAACCAGCACCTATTGCACCTACATAAATGAAATAAAACTCTTTTTGTTTTTCTATAAGCTTCATTTTCTTCGTGAGGTTTTTTTTTTCATAGAATGTCTATATTCCGAGTTATTCGAGAAAAACTACTGAAAAATGTTTTTTTTAATAAAAAAATGTACATTTTCAATCACCAATGAGTCAGAAAATACTGACTTATCGAAAAATGTTCAGAAGGTACTTTTTGCTTAAAATTGATTGCTTTATCGATTCCTGGGGTTATTTCCATTATCTTATTTTTCATCCCTAGAAGGGGCACTATAACTTTTGTTTCTGGAGCTATTTTCTACTGAAATAAAAATCAGAATTCAAAATGATAAAATAAGTGTACCTAATATAATTTTTCGTACTAACTAAAGGTAATAGAAGGTTGTGTTTTTTTTATAATACATCAGAAAATTTCAAAAGCTGGGCGAATGCCTAAAGATTTGTGTAAATAGTAGTTAATGAGTTGTATATTTGACGAAAAAAAATTAAATGATTGAAAGTTATGAAGATTTTAATATTTTATTTGTAAAAGTAAAAGGTCATCAGATGTCATATTTAATTATCGGTAAACATTTCTGGCTCTTATTTACCAGTAATCTCGCAATAAAAATGCTCCGTTTACTTTCCCTAATTGCCAGCGTGGTAAGTTATCTACGAATCATTCGGGTATTTAATTTTATCATCCTACACTTGGAGAAGTTGGAGATAATTAACAACGAGTTATTTATACTTCCTAATATTTCCTCTCTTTATAATCCCTTTCTCAATATTGTCTATTTTATACTCCTTTTTGAATGCTTTTAACGAAGCGAGCGAGTTATTTTGTTAGCTAGAGAATCCTTTTTATGTTTTTGGTGAGTCAATTCTTTACTGCAAATACCCCTAGCCAAATATTAACCCTCGTTGTCTTATTTTCAGTTAATTATCTGTGAAGAAGCCTTTTCCTTTTTTGTATCGTTGATATTATACTCGTACAGTGCGTTGTTATAACAAAGAATGTAGAAAGTATACTGTCAAAAAAATATTTTGACAAAACTGCATTTAAGCAAACTCTGTCCGAAGCAATTTCTTGTAGGCAACCAGGAATATTCCAAACACGTCTATTCTCGTCGTCCTTCAGTCGATCATGTACAGATAAACTTCTATTGTTTGATCACAAATGACAAAGTGACGTCTCGCGATTCACTGCGACAGAACTAGGCTGCAATCTGTATAGAAACAATTAATATTCCACCTTGACGTTCGTTTTGATTCTCTTAAAACGCCAGTTGGAGCAAGGACGTTAGCGAAAAACAACGCTGCCGATGTTAAATCTCGCTCTATATTTATGTAAATAACATTTTGCTCGGTTTTGATGCGAATGCGGAATACTTAATGCACAATAATCAATGTGGGGGAAAGATAGGAAGGAAAGCAAAAGTTGGTACCGAAAAAGTCGCACAATTTCTGGTTATCAGCTCTCTAAAAACTGTCAAATAGTAACAACTATTGAGATTTTGTTAATCGGGTTCTGCGTGTCGACGTCTCGGAGAGAATTGTTCACGACGTGCTGATGAAAAGCCAGACTCGTGGAGTGGTGCATTTGTTTACTTTAAAAACAACGAAAATTGATTATATGAGCTTATATGTATATTTGGTTGGGATCATGAAAGAATTCGAAACTCTGTCCATTTGAAACCCACTCGCCCCTATTTTTTTCGTTGGATATGAACCCTTTTGTCTCTTAATTTGGGAAAAGATCCAAGGGGACATAAACCAAACCGAAATTATTTCAGTTCCACAAACGCCGAAATTTTAATGTGCCGTGACAA